ACAGAGCAACCTGGACTAAGCTACTTGGGGCAGGGAATGTCTTAGGTTCTGTTGGTACAGCACTGGGTACAGACGAGCCCTGTTCTGTGACCAGACTCCAGAAATTCTTCACCATACTAAAATAATTTTCCAGCAAATGCTGTTCAGAAACACCAAGTAAAACAGCCTCCTCCAAGCACAGCTGATTACTTCATACACTTACTTAGGTAGGCCTTTGATACAGGCAGCAAGGTCCTTTGTCATGAAGCCAGATTCGATGGTCTCAATGCAGACTTCTTCCAGGGCAACTGCAAAGTTCTTGAGGCTAGTGTTGTTGTCCAGCTTAGCTCTGTGAGCAAGTCCTCTTGTCCATGCGAAAATGGAGGCTGAGAGAGAACACTAGATTACTCTGTCCTTCTAGAACTCGCTAGACATTGTTCTAAACTGTCATGTGGAACAGTAATTATTTTTAATATGATAAAACTGAAAACAGACAAAAAAAGAAAATCTGGTATGGGAAAGAATATTTATCTTCATCTAGGCATCCTTTGCATTTTGTGCAGCTCTCAAGAAAAGCAAACCCCAGAAACTACTCACTGCCTCCAGCAATCTTTGTGCATGCCATTGTATCTTATTTTGTTCCTGCCCAAGTCAGAAAGAATGACCAAGGGTAGGACTCTGTGGTTACATAGAAAGTTGTCCTTATGACAGAAGTGTGCAGTCTTCTTCCTGGTATTACATTACACTCTGGTCCCTGTGCAATTGTAGAGGATTCTTTTCCTCATGTCCCATTCGAGGTGTACTTACACTTTAAGTATGTACATGGTTTGTGGGGGTGGCTAGGTCTTTTGGAGCACCAGGAAGGGGAATAAAATAAAAAACAGCCAACCCAAACCTTAAGGCCATTGTGGCTGTAAACCCATCATTTGCTGAAGAGTGAGAGCATGTCTCAACGGCTAAGCTTGGTCTATCTTATTGCTTAACACTCCATTCCAGCCTGGTTTTGCTCCAGGCTGCAGCTGTCTCCATGGAAGAAAAATGCATAATGATCTACCAGTTTCACCACTCAACAGTGCAATTCTCTGCAGAAAGGATGCAGATGTTCTTAGTCCAAACCTGTTCCTTCATGTGTAGAGATTACTGAAGGGCAGCGAAAAACAGCTCACCAATGGGGTTAGTGGAGGTTTCTTGGCCTTTCTGGTGCATGCGGTAGTGACGAGTAACTGTGCCGTGAGCAGCTTCTGCTTCAACAGTCTTGCCATCAGGGCAGATCAGGACACTGGTCATCATCCCCAGAGAGCCATAGCCTGCAGAACCCACAGTTTAAAGAGTTCAGTGTCTCCTTTGGACAGTCTCCTTAAATCCCTCCATCCTACATTCCCCTACATCCTCCCAGCCTTGATGTCAGTATTCCTGAACAGCAGTGCTCCTGCTGCTGCAACTAACTGGCTAGTCCTGACACATCAAAATAACAGCTCATCTGAACAGAAAGTGCTGCTGAACAAATAGATATGTGGATATTCTGCACCATTTCAAGAAAATTAGTATTCTTAACTAACTTGCTGGACAGATTTTTACTGAAAAGGTGCAGTATGAGAACAAAGAACCCTCAATAAGTAGTGTTGGGCTGCCAATCACTATCTTCCCTACATAGTGACAGGAAACAAACCTATGTCACATCAAGAGCACCTGCTCTAGTGAAAGGAATCATGAGCTGGCAAAACTGGACATTCCCATTACTTCTAACCCTATAGGTTTCAGAGATCTGTGTCTTTGAAAGCTTCTTTTTTCAGTAGTCCACCACACATCCTTGTTCTGTGAGGGGCAGTTTACTGGCATTACTTTAGAAAGAGCGTATTACATAAAGCCACACATCTTGTCCTGTAGATGTCTGCACACATATTTGTTTTGGCACCAGGCAGCTTGGTTATATAGGATTTTGATCAGGCACTACAAGTCTGTAAAGTTAAACATATCAATCTCTCTTTACACCTGACAGGCAGCTTTAGGGTCCTGAAGGTTATTTATCTGTAGAGCACCTGCCAGTATGCTCACCACTAGTCAGCTTGACTCAAGCTGTCGGTGACAGAATCCCAGCTGTCTGGATACCTTCCATTAGAGTGGAAAGCCTATCAGTTATGTTGGTAGGAACTGCCATCTGGTAAAGAAGTATAACTACATAGTCTACATTCAATGCATTTTCTTGTAAAAGTGAATTCAGAAATTCTTTGCCTGCTTGGTATCTCCATGACTTGCCACAGGTTTGAAACATAAGTTCTGGGACCCAACACAAGCTCCTGGGCCATTACATAAGATATGACACGAGGTCACAAGAGACTGCTACTGAGTCTACTTCAGCGCAACACAGGAAACATCTCATACCTTGGGCAACAGAGTCAGATTGCACATCCCCATCGTAGTTCTTGCAGGCCCAGACAAAGCCTCCTTCAGATTTCAGGGCCTGAGCAACCATGTCATCGATGAGCCTGTGTTCATACCAGATCTTTTTGGCTTCAAACTGGGACTTGTATTCTCTGGAAAACAAAAATGAGAAAACCAGAACACTTTGTCATATAGATAAAAACAGGGATTGCACAATTTGTGCAAGTAATTGTGCATAGTGAGATGCATAGAGGCAAGAGTAAAACAAAAAGCCAACAAAAAATGCAAACCAAAACAACCCTGAATTTGCATCCTCTTTACTGTGGGTTTTTTTTTTTCCCTTTTTTTTTCTTCTTCTTCCTTGCTTGCTTTGCTAGGCCACTGCAAGTCTGCTTCAGAATCACAAACAAGCCCATAAAGAATCTGTGACCATCTGTAAGGAGAGTTGAACACCACAGCCACATTTAGCAGACTTTAAATTTTGAGTGCTGTGTCCTGCAGGACAAGGAAGACTGCGACAGGCAAGGCACCCAGCCCTCCCCAAGTGCTGCTGAGAGTCTGAAAATGCTGAATTAACTATAGCAGCTCACAAAGCTGGAGAGGATGTTCCTGCTGCAGCCTTAGGCACTGCAGTAGGAAGTACACAACTATCCTAGTTACCTGTCATAGATCTCTTGGAAGATGTCTTTAAAGCGGCCATCGTATCTCTTCAGGATGGTGTTCTTGGTGCTCATGTAGAGGGGCCAGCCTTTAGACAGTGCCATTTGGAAGGAACTGTGGGCAAAATCCTTGATAGACTGGTCAAGATTGTACATTCCCATGGCTACACCACCACAGCCTGTTAGTGGAGAAAGACCAGGTAGGAATCAACTACACTTAGTTTTGGTTAAGGATTTGACAGTCTCCCCATAGCATACTCCAGCAGGCAGGCTGGTGTTTTCTGCAGGTGTCTTGATATAGTTCTCAATTTAAGGCTGGTTCTTTCAGAAGAAGATTCACTTTGCACTATCAGCTCAAAACTCCAGTAGTCCCGTGATGCATGGATAGGAAGGTGGTTTTGTTTTACAGCTAAGTACGTCTAAATACTGTGATCTAATATCCCTAACACGTTTCTTCCTAATCCAGCCTAAGCAGCAAAACTGTGACAGAAGTGAGCATGCTTGAGCTCCTACTAGCCACATGAAGTAGTACAGAGCACTTTTCTACCATAGCAGCAGGCAGCAGTTTGGAGCACAGGCCTCAGTCAAAGCTAGAAATGAGATGGCTCACATCTTAAATGCCTTGTACATTCAGGTTTTGACCACATGCAGACCTACCTCCAGCAGTCAGAGGCTGCTTTGCCTAGCTCAGGTAAACAAGCCCCCACATGCATCCTACATCTTTGCAGTACGTATGTCTGGCCTACTCTGCAGCTTTGTTTCACCTGCTCAGGCTCACTTCAGACAAGTTGTGGGAGAAACATACCAGTCATCTGGGTGCAAGGGAAAGTCCTGAGAAGGCTCTGAGGAACCATCACCACTCACATGACTTAGATTGTGTAATGCAGATGTGTTAGCAGCCTGAATGGAAGTGTCTTACACTTACAGCCCAGCTCATCTGGGGGAAAGCAGCATTCAGATCATGGGAGAGGTTGATTGTGGGGAAAAGTAGGGTCTAGGGCTTCATGAAAAAACTTCGTCATGTTCAGAGCACAGCTGCACTTCTATGAGAATTAGATACCATGTACTTAATTTTAAGCACCTCGCTACCACCACCTCTCTAGTTTGTTGTGCAGTGCCTTTATCAGGGATCTTTGCTCTGGAAACACCTCAGATATATTTAAAAAAGGAAGTTTTCTTAATATGCATTTGTCCTTACCTCCAGATGGTTGTTACTCTTATGGATATGCATACAGAATGAAGAGGGGAAGCCAGAGGAGGTTTATCTGCTTGCCAAGATAGCAAGGTCATTTAAAGTTGATATTGGCAGGGAATGAAATTCCTG